GGAAGGGGGAGGGAGGGAGGGAGGGAGGAAGGAAGGAAGGAAGGAAGGAAGGAAGGAAGGAAGGAAGGAAGGAAGGAAGGAAGGGAAAAAAGCCAGAAGAGCCAGGGAAGCAGAGCAGGGAAGAGGCAGGGGGAGTAATGCAGGAGAGACATGGCATGGGCTTGGGTCAGGATTACAGCACTGAGGAAGTAAGGGATCTGGTTCTGGAATCATTGTGAAGGCAGACCTGACAGGGTTCTTAGATGAGATTGAGGTATAAGAAAAAGAGATTATCAAGCATGAGTCCAGGTTTTCAGGCTCGAGTAGGGTGGAATTGAACCCAGTCTTCTGTACAAACTTTTTGGTAAAACTGATCACACAGAGAATCCGCCAGGGGTTTACTCCTTTAACCCCTTCCCCGGCAGAAACGTGTATACTCGTTTTCACAAAATGTTCTTTTTCAGTCGTCGACGAGTATACTAAGAAAATATGGTAAAAAAATATGGTTTATAGGAAGACAAGTTACAAACTGTTTTCATAACCAGCATCAAAAATACTATATAGAACCAAAATAAAAAAATTAGTCTGAAAAAGAAACGTTTTTAACAAAAAAATTGTTGGGGAAGGGGTTAAACCGCATTATAGTAACATCAAGTTTAGGAAACAGTCCATGTGACAGAGCTTTGCTGGAACAGCCTTGCACCTACTGATACCTGTAATAAAAAATAATTTCTTCTGGAGGGATTTAAGCCAGTTTATAATAATAGCTGACAAAGAGTGCCTTTGTTTATAAAATCTCCTCCAAGGGCTCTATACACTTTACAAATCCCCCACTAGCCAGTTGTTCACCTCAAAACAAAGGCATTTCAAAAGCAGGGAATTAAGAGGTGTGAAAGAGGCAAGGGAATCTAGGTCGGAAAACAAATGCCTTCACATTAGAGCACACCTCAGAGCTATCTGTAAAGCTCAGTGAAGGTGAGCAGAGAGCTCTGGGCCTTGGGGCTCAGGAGGGACCTCAACAGGAAACAAAAGTGCTCCTCGGATTTCACAGCACAAAGCAAACCCAAGGGGACTGAATGAAATTATCCTGGTCAATAAAAAGTGCAAGGTTGACATTAAATATGCACAACACAGCTGTTTGGCTCTCTCAGAGAATTATCCGAAAATGCTTACAAGTAGGTTTTCCTACATAACAACAAAACCCCATAGATTTCTGGTGTTGTTGCCTTACTGAGGGAGTGAGGAGAGCACACTGTAATTTGTGTTGCCCTCCTCTGAAAAAATGGAATTAAAGAACTTTCAGAGGGCAGGGGGGAGGATGGGAGTGGGCTGGAAGAGGTTAATGGGGGGAAAAGGAGGAACCATGTAATACTTTCAACAATAAAGATTAAAAAAAGCCGAGGCCGGTTTGGCTCAGTGGATAGAGCGTCGGCCTGCGAACTGAGGGGTCCCGGGTTTGGTTCCGGTCAAGGGCATGTTTTCAAGGGACAGAAAAAGAGGGATCAATCATCAGAAAGCATGAAAAGTGGCACCTTTCAATGGCTTCTGGTGACATATTCGAGCCACTGGCAAGAACCGAGGGTGGGACTCGAGCTTGCAACAGGCTCACCAGAGCCAAGCTGACGTGACTGCTCACATGGGGATGACAGCCACAGCATTGGCAAATCATGACTCATGGCCCACAAGCTGAGAATGGTTTTCACATTTCTGGATGGTTGGGGGGAAAATCAAAAGAAAAATATTTGTTATATGTGAAAATTACATGGAATGCAAATTTTGGCGTGTTATTGCCACATAACCCCACTTACCCATTTAGGTAGGAGCTATGGTTGCTTTGCGTTGTAACAGCAGAGTGGAGTAGTAGTGACAAGAGCCCTTCTAGCCTGCAAAGCCTAAAATAGTGTCTATCCAGTCCTTTCCAGAAAAAGCTTGCCAACTCTCTGCTCGATATCACACTGATGTATCAAGGTAGAAATAACAGGCGAAGGAATTTATTTCCAAAATGCAATTGAGTGCACATCCCAGAAATGGAAAAGCACAGAAACAAATCTGGTGGATGATGTGAGTGTATACAGCTTTTGTTGTTGTTGTTAATGAATATTGACTTCAGAGAGGAAGGGAGAGGGAGAAATAGAAACATCAATGATGAGAGAGAATCATTGATTGGCTGCTGCCTCTTGCACACCCCACACTGGGGATAGAGCCTACAACCTGGGCATGTGCCCTTGACTGGGACTCGAACCCAGGACCTCCTGGTTCACAGGTTGCCGCTCAGCTACGCCAGCCAGGCAAGTGTATACAGCTTTTACCTGCAGCACTTGGCATTCATTTTTTTTTTTGAATATGTTTTATTGATTTTACAGAGAGGAAGGGACAGGGATAGAAAGTTAGAAACATCGATGAGAGAGAAACATCGATCATCTGCCTCCTGCACACTCCTCACTGGGTATGTGCCCGCAACCTAGGTACATGCCCTTGACAGAAATCGAACCCGGGACCCTTGAGTCCGCAGGCCGACGCTCTATCCACTGAGCCAAACCGGTCAGGGCGGCATTCATTCTTTCCAGGCAATAGAAAGGAGAAAGATCACCTTTCCAAGAAAGGAAAGGGATACGAATCTATTTAATCAGCTAGAATCAGATACTGTTCAGGTTTTCTGCTCTTACACTGGCCCTTTCCATGGGGAGTTAATATAAAAGAGTCAGGGATACGCAATGGTGATTTAGTCAGCCCACATACAGTGGCATTGAAACTTTCAGAATGGAGAGCTTGCCTGCCTCTTTCACTATGGTAGCCTCAGAACCTCCACATGGTGAGCCTTCGATATTTGTTGAATGAATACATGAGCATAAACTCTCTGCACACACTTATGAAGGAAGCTGGCTACTCTAGCTCACGTTGTCTTCAAGCTGCGGCATTGAACAAAAAGAACCATTTTGTTCTTGGCCTCTAAGTGCTTTGGGGAAACTGCAGCAGTAACACTCCAGACCTCTGCTCCACCTCAGGATCAGAGCACTCCAGAATGCAGTGGCCCCTCACCCCCTCTCTGTGCTTAAGTCAAAGGGCAAGTATGGCTACTATTTAGTGAAGGCTCCACAGGAAGATTTGTTTGTTTCTGATTCCAGCTACTGGGCTGTTCAACATCAGCCAGTAGGAGCAGACCCATGTTTACAACCTAGCTCAGCCTCCTTATCTCCTCTTCCTGCAGGCAAAGCTCTTTTGTCCTTCAAGCGTTTTTCAAAGATGGCTGGTTATGCACGTAGAAAATACCAACCCAAACAACACAAAACCCAAATGCTCTTATTTACACAAGGATGCTATTTTATCTTAATTCACTAAATCCTGAAAGAAGTTCATAGCTCCCTTTGCTTTTTTTTCTACTTGCAAATATTAGATAAACTAAGTTTCCTGAAATATTAACCCTGAAGAATGTTGTCATAAAAAAAGAGGTTCCATAACTCAGTTTCTCTTTTTCTGCTCTTTTCAACTTGAAGTTGTTTCTATAACCTTTTCAACTTGAATTTTTGTTTGTTTGTTTTTTTCTCATTAGAAGAAGTAAATGGTAGAAGAAATGGGCTCAGAACAAGTTACAGAGGCAGAAGGGTCCTTGGAGCTTAGGAAAGAGAAAGGTAAAGATAATGCCCTAGGGGTGGGGGGAGAGGGAGAGAGGTAAGGGAAAGGCCAGGGCATGCTCCCAGCAGAGAGAGCTGCCTCAACTTGAAGTTTTAATGAGGATCTACCATGTACCTTATGTGCATTTTGCAAAGTTGGGGAAAAGGTAAATAGCAGAGGTGAAGACAAGCTTCTCACACTCCAGAAGCCCAGTGTAATAAAGTCATTTTTTGTTTGTGACTGCATTACCCCAAAGGGAAGTGCAATTTATATACCTACATTATGCATTGCAGAGAAAAGAACTATGTAAGAAATCTCTGCTCTCCTGGATAGTATTTTTATGACAAGAACAAAAATTCCAACAAGAGCACTTAAGAGTTTTCATGCTATCACTTAAGATCTTTTAAAGGTTGTTGCTTAAGTAGCCTCAAGAGATAAGTAGTCAGAACACTACTGGTTTTTCAAAATGTGAAGTACAAATGCACTACCAGCTAGAATGAAAATTTCCCTTTGCCTACCATAAAAAAGAAGGGATACAGAGAAATAAGTCAGATCTCCACGTTCATGTGTTAAATATTAATTTTCATTGTCTATATGAACTTTGCCATCAGAAAGCCTCAGTTTGGATACTTTATGATTTACTTGATCATAGACCTTGGACAATTCTTGGACCTCTCCAAGCCTCTGTCTCTTCGTGACTACCTCATGAGACTTCTGTAAGAATCAAGGAAGGAAATACTATATATAAAAATGCCTGCCCAGTTGGCATGGTTCAGTGGTTGAGCGTCGACCCACGAACCAGGTTACCAGTTCGATTCCTGGTCAAGGCACATGCCCAGGTAGTGGGCTCATCTCCAGTAGGAGGCCTGCAGGAGGCAGCCAATCAATGATTCTCTTTCATCATTGATGTTTCTCTCTCTCTCATCCTCTCCCTTCCTCTCTGAAATCAATATATATATATGTCTTTTTTAGGAAAAAAAGTTTCTTTCAATGTTTGTATTTCAGAGAGAGGAAAGGAGAGATAGAAACAGTAATGATGAGAGAGAACCATTGATCTGCCCACCCCACACTGGGTCTCGAGCCTGCAACCTGGGCATATGCCCCGGCTGGGAATCAAACCATGACCTCCCAGTTTATAAGTCAATACTCAAACACTGAGCCATGCCGGCTGGGCAAACAAACAAACAAACCCATATTAAAAAAAAAACAACCCTTCTAGCCCTGGCCAGTGTGGCTCAGTTGGTCGAGCATCGTCCTGTGCACTAAAAGGTTGCTGGTTGAATTCCCGGTCAGGGCACGTACCCAGGTTTTGGGTTTGGTCCCCAGTCGGGGTGCATATGAAGGCAACTAATTGATGTCTCTCACATGAATGTTTCTCTCTCTTTCTCGCTCTCTAAAATCACTAAGAGATGGCAGCACCTGGGCGGCGGTGGCTGGTGGAGCAGCTCGTGGCGGTGCGGGGCTTCCCCTCGCGCCGAACCCTGCACTAAGTGGGCCCCAGCGCGGGACGTGCTGCTCTTCGAGCACGAGCCGGGCCGCTTTTTCGCGGTTCTGGGGCTCTTCTGCGCTGGCCAGGCCGTCTTCTGGGCCTCCCTGGCCCGCGCAGCTTTGGCCCGACACCGGGTCCCGGCGCAGCCTCTGGATGCGGAGATCCCAGACCCCGGCCATGTGGACGTGTGCTCCGCGCTCTGGCCTGGCCATGGGCGGCGGCGTAATCAGTACCCTGGTCCTTGCCGCTGGACTTCTCCCTCCACTCTGGTTCGGTGATACTGCAGGCTGGAGGGAAGCAGGTGACCCTTACCACTCACGCCCCCTTTGGCTTGGGTGCGCAATTCACTGTTCCCTTGAAACAAGTGTCTCTAAAGGTCAAAGGCCGACGCTTCTACTTCCTCTTGGACAAAGCTGGATATTTTCCTAACACAAAACTCTGACAACACTGTGGATGCCTACCGTAGCTTGTGAAAAAACCACCTGGGGACACTCGCCCCTCCAGGAGGGTAATGAAAACCTTTAGGTCCTGCCCAGTGTGGCTCGGTTGAAGCACTGTCCCAGTGCGTGGAAAGATCTTGGGCACGCTGGTGGCTCAGAAGCATCAACCTATGAACCAGGAGGTCACAGTTGGATTCCCCATCAGGGCATATGTCCGAGTTGCAGGCTCGACCCTAGATCATGCAGGAGGCAGTCCATCAATGATTCTCATTTTGATGTTTCTCCCTCTCTCTCCCTTCCTCTCTGAAATCAAATCAATAAAGATATATTTAAAAAAAGGGAAGGAACTTGGGTTCGATTCTAGTCAGAGCACATGCCCAGGTGTGGGTTCCATCCCTGGTTGGGGTGCATATGGGAGGCAACTGATATTTCTCTCACATTGATGTTTCTCTCCCTTGCCCTTTCTCTAAAATCAATAAAAACAAATCCTCAGGTGAAAAAATAAAATAAAATCAGTAAGAATAAAAGCCTTCTAAATAAGAATGCCCCACCAATCCCTTGAATATAGAAACTGCATCTTATTTCTTATTAAATCCCCAACATCTGGAATAGTGCCTGGCACATAGAAGATACCTAATTATTTAATTTTGATTGAAGGAATACTTTACTATATAAATATGTCCTCATAAGGCAACTTTTACTATAATTTTTAGATTAATAATAGGGGAGTAACATAAGATGCCAAGTTAGAGGTTGCCCTTGGACCACTAAACTCTTATTCTAAGTCTTTCTCTCTAAAATATATTCGTGATGGTAGGGCCCAACCACAGCTTTATACACTCCACATGTATAAGAATAATATTCCATTACATGTTTGTTTGACCACATGTTTGACCACATTTTGTTTGTCCATTCATCTGTCAATGGACATTTGAGTTGCTTACACTCAAAGAGTGACTGGAATTAGAATTTTTCATATTCCCTCCCTGACTACTGTGAATAAAGCTACGAACCTGGTGTACTGGAAAAGTCCCTGCTTTCAATTCTTTTGTGTATGTACCCAATTACTAGTCATATGGTAATTCTATTTTAAATTCTTTGAGGAATCACCCTATTCTCTTTTTTCTTGCGAAGTCATATTATTTTACATTCCCATCAGCAATGCACAAGGGTTTTAATTTCTCTACAACCTTGTCAACATCTGTAATTTTCTGGATTTTTCTCATAGTAGTCATTCTAATGAGTGTGAGGTAGTTCTAGTAATTTTCAAAAAATAAGTTATTTGGGAGAAGTTATTCCCAAAGCTGATTAATTTAGAAAAAGACAATGTTTTCCTGAGAAAAATGTTGCCATAGTTGTTCTCAGCATTTCCCATCTGACCCGAGAGGTATTTTTCTACTAAGATGATATCATTTATCTAGCTTTTTGATAGGCTAGTGATTGCTGTTAGTGATTAATAGGACCGGGTGTATCCTGTTACATTTTGCAAAGCCACCCAAATGTTTTTCTTTGGAATCATCTGACCTAAACATGATGACTACAGGGATATACCCAAGAAAAAGGGAAGTGAATCAGCTATGAAGGAGATGGTGTTGGGAAAGAGCCTGTAAAAAGTTAATAGTTCATCCAAACTTTTACTTAAATATACAGAAGTATAGTTTCATCGTTGGTAAACTTTAATATTTGACTTCAAAGACCACAGAAGACAGAAAGGTAAAATTTTCGGAGTTTTTAAAACTCAAATTTCTTTTTCTCATAAAATGGTGAAATGGTTAAAATAAGGAAGTGGGGGAAAAAAACTACCCTCTGTTTAACACCATACAATAGTTGGGAGAGGCCCAGCACTTATGTATATTAAATATTAATTTGCTTAATCAAAAGTTTTATTTGGAAGAAAAAGGAAAACAATGACATGAGAGAAATAATTGGATTTCTTTCAACACACTCTTCCTATGATCAAATTTAAGAAGTTCAATGACAAAGATTATGGATAAAGAACAAGCCTGGGTACAGCAGTGTTGTGTTTTGAAAACAGCTTTGAACTTGGTATTCGAAGACCAAGTTCAAGGTTTTGCATAAATAGGTTTGTCACCTTATTAGCTGTGCAATCTGTGTGAGTCACCCAACCCATCTGAGCTTCCATTTCCTAATCTATAAATCAGAGATAATATCACTTATTTCACAAGACTGTGGTAAACATTAAATAAGATAATAGGTGTAATAATACCTGGCATACAAAAGATACTGGATACATGTTAACTTTATTCCTCTTTCCAAAGTAGGGTCAGAGTTGTCTCGTTATTTGGTAGAGCTTAAAGCATGCATACTTGGGGTCTGGATATTGCTTTTCAAAGAGTGACTGGAATTGAAATTTTTCATATTCCCTCCAGAAACACATTTCTTTCTCATCTCAGTAACTGGCTCCACCATCTAACTATTCAGTTGTATAAGCCAAACCTACCAATTAAGAGTTTTCCCTCTTCCTTTAGCCACCAAGTCCATTGGTTCTACCTCTAAAATAGATCTCAAATCCAGCCACTCTCTCAATCTCCACTTCCACTGCCCTATCTCTATTTCCATCCTATCCCCTTCCAATCTATTTCTACTCAGCAGCAAGAACAATCTTTAAAAATGCACTACATCAAAAGTACAGCATAGGGACTACAGTCAATAATCCTATATAATAAAACCCTAATATGCAAATCAACTGAATGGCGGAAAGACCAGTGGAACAACCAGTCACTATGATGCGCACTGACCACCAGGGGGCAGCTCCTGTGTTTAGCGTCTGCCCCCTGGTGATCAGTGTGCTCCCACAGGGGGAGTGCTACTCAGCCAGAAGCTGGGCTCACAGACGGCGAACGCAATGGCAGTGGCAGGAGACTCTCCTGCCTCTGTGGCAGTACTAAGGAGCAGTGAGCTAAGTGGTAAGGAGCAGCAAGCAGTCAGGTGGTAAAGAGCGAGGTATCCTAGACTACAAGAGAGATTCCTGACTGCAAGAGGGTGCAGGCCAGGCTGAGGGACCCCACTGGTGCACGATTGGGGCCTGGGAGGGACCGCAGGGGGGCTCCAGGGCATGTCTGGCCTGTCTCATCCAGTCCCGACCGGCTGGACCCCAGCAGCAAGCTAACCTACTGGTTGGCGCATCTGCCCCCTGGTGGTCAGTGCATGTCATAGCGACTGGTCAAATGGTCATACAAACGGTCGGACACTTAGCATATTATGCTTTCATTATAAAGGATGCTACCCTGGAATATAAGGGAAAAAGATACTGCTTCCTCCTTTTCTCAGCTCAATTACTTACTAACAAGACCAAAAGCCTTAAGGAGGGCAGGAATTGTTCTGTATAGTTCACAGCTATAAGCCAGGTGCCTGGCATGGCAGGCATTCATAAATATTTGTTGAAAAATACAACCCATTCAATCTTAAAAGAGATCCTCACATATCCTCTCTCTCCAATATCTCCAATCTCTTTCCAATAGCTCCTTCTCATTTTCACACATTTATAAGCCAGTCCCCATTTAGAACACAACTCACTTGATACTGCTGTCTTTTCAAATGTTCTGGTTCTCCAATTCCTTTGAATAAGTGGCTGGTTTTTACTAGCCTCATTTAGTACTATTCAGTCCTCTTCAGCCCTTTGCAATCTGGTATCATTTCCATCAACTAGAGAGATAAGTGAACCACAGTTAAGGAGGCCTCCTTCTAAACCAAATGCAGTCATCCTTTCCCAGGCCCTGCCTTCTCAATGTCCTATTTTGGACACTGCTGATAACCATGTTCTCTCACAAATTCTCTACTTTCATGGGGTTGAAGATGCTGTGGGCAAATTCAAGGGATTGACTCTGCCATTCTTTTCCCTGCACTCATTTCCTTTGTGAGTTTTTCTTTTTCTCTTAAATTATCAACTCTTTTGTTGATTAGGTTTAATAAACCACAACTGAGTTTATTTCATTTTAAATACAGAATCTCAAGCCTTGAATTAGCATTCAAAACAGTCCAGAGAACAGTCCAAAGCCACTAACATCACTAGTGGCTTTATGAATTGTGTTGGTATGCTCTCAGCCTTCTTTAAAAAAATTTTTTTTAAATTTTTTCTTTAATAATTTTTTTCAATTACAGTTGATGTACAACGTAAGTTTTTTTTTTCAATTACAGTTTACATTCAACATTATTTTGTATTAGTTTTAGGTGTATAGTGGTCAATCATGTACTTTACAGAGTGTTCCTTCTGATATTTCTAGTACTCATCGGGCACCATTGCTCTCTGCATTCTGATCTCTGACTCTTGGATCTGGCCGTTTTAGCTCTGACCTTGTTTTGGTGCCTGGTCTCAGACTGCTATTTATATTTTCCTTGTTACTGAAATGATTATGTCATATTATTGCCTAACAGTTTTGGGTCTTGTTTTTAATGCCTTGAGTTTAGACACCTACTGAAGTCATAAGACTTTCAGCTCAGAACAAACCTGGCACTCGTATCTACTGCAGGGTCTCTCTTGACCA